TCTTTGTTCTAATTCTCCTTCTCTAACGAATTTCATCGTATGAATTGATTGCAATCTCGGTGCAATGTTTAATAAGGAAAATAAAACTATCGGGGTTGATTAGTTCAAATCGAATGCACCGAGAACTCCTATCTTCTCCGACTTTCAGCAAAGTTTCTTTTCGAAAATACTATTCGTTTTAGGATTTCTCGAGAAGATGAGGAGGAGGAGGCAGCGAAAAGTAGCAACACGGAAGAAAGAAGAAAGCAGGTATGGAAGGGGAGAGAAGGCTTGCTTTTCCTTCGTGTCACGCCATTACGGCGTATCAAAACCGAGTGAAAAGAAGAAGAGTAAGAGTTAGAAGAGGAGAGTGGTGTGTGGGTGGCGTGCGGCTTGGTGGATGCATTCAAACGTTCCTCCGCTCGTCTAAGAAGAAACACAAAGAACGGTACACGCGCTGCTACGAGGGGAATTGAAAAATTACGAGAGGAGTAGAGAAACGCGACCATTCAGGAGGAAGAAGACGAAGAAGAACGAGAAGGAAAGAGAGAACAAGTTCGGCGGACAAGAAGGGTGCGGTGCATAAAGGGCCATTAGTTAATTAACTCCTAATTATCTGCTGGCGGAGAAGCGAGCGCATAATCGTCAAGCATCGCTGGCGTTCATTGCCAGCGCGAAAAGGCAGACACAGAAAGAGAAAGAGGAGGAGAAAGAGGAAGAAAGAAAGAAAGAAAGAAACAGAGAGAGAGAGAGAGAGAGAGAGAGAGAGAAAAGACGGTGTGCAAGCACGGATCGTTGCGTTAGCAGCAGCAGCAAAAGCAGCAGCAGCACGTTGCAACCCCCACAGAGTTGTCGGGCGCCAAACAATCGGCGGCTGCTGATTGCATAGCCTTGGAACATCATCCCCCTACTTCTTCTCCTCCATCTTTTTTTCCCTGCACCCCCGTACTTCTTTTTTACTTCCTCGGCAGACCGTCCACCCTCCCAGCAAACCTCCTACTCCTGCATACACCTACGTACATGCAGACATACGTACTCATTCTCTGTCTCTATCGCGCTCGTTTCTTTCATACGGTATACCGCGAATCCCAGACGCAACCCGGACTATTTCTCTCTCTCTCTTTCTTCCTTTCTTTCTTTCTTTCTTTCTTTCTTTCTATCTCGCTTGCTCGGGGGAGTCGAGGCATGTAAAAAGAAGCGTTTCTCGCTTCAACCACCAAGTTCTTTCTCTCTTTCCGTTCCTTCTCGAAACTCAGCCGGCCGAGTCGTTTCATAGCCACGACTACCGCAGCAGCTTGGTCCATTCTTCTGCAAACCAGTTTCCTCTCTCTTTTTCTTCTTCTTCTACTTCTTCTTCTTCTTCTTCTTCCTCTTCTTCTACTTTTCCTTCGTCTTCGTCTTATTATCATCATCTACCTATTACTCGATTCCCCCTAGAGCACGAGAAGCAGCACCTTTGTCACTGTCCACGCGGCCGGGCATTTTGTCGTCTTTGTTGTTTTGCAAAATACGATACGTATTATTTCGTAGTTTTATTTCGTTCTAAATTTAGCCTCTATACTTTCTCATCGAACGTAAGAATCGTTAAACAAATCTAAAATAGCTTAATACAAAGATCTTCATTCTAATCGCGCTACGATTGGAACGAGCCAACGTTGGCCAAATTTTTTTTGCATTTCCGTTTTATGTAAAATCAGCCTAAAATTGAGTTCGCACCTACGAAAAACGTCTACCACCGGATACTACTGTCAAGCTTTTAAGCATTGGCCTTTAGGCCAATGACCCTTCCTCTCCCTTTCAAACTCTGCACTACTTGACAAGTAAAGAAGAGTCATTTCTCTAATTCGCTAACCTTCTCCTCTAACAGCACCTTTTTTCGTTCATTCTCTACCCTCCTTGCACCAATTAGAATGGCCGGCGATGGCTGACGTAGGTGGGCTGGCTGAAGCATGGAAGCAACGCATACAGAAAAATCTGCTTTCAACGCTAATAGTACCTTTTCGGGCCGTTTAAAAGAGTGCTACTCGAAAGAGGAAGCGAGCAATTAAAAGCGGCCCGCCTTAATACGAAACTTTTTTACATTTAAGTGTGCCGGATGATGGAAAAAAAGGTTATATACTATTGCATCGTGTTTTCTAGCAGTATGCGCCACACGTGTATTCGCATTTATTCAGAAAGTTTTATTTTCATTACACACTACTATATATATATTGTATATCCGTATATACGTATGTGTACGTGTATGTGTTGTATACTAGATACGTTGTATTTACGCGACCTTTTTTTCTTCTTTTTTTCTTTTGCAAAAAACTCCAAAGTTCAACGAGTTTATTTCATTATCGTAATATGTTAATAAACGTTTTGGAAGAGCTCATAAAGTATGCTCGAATGGTTTTTCGTAACTCGAGGATCACTAATTATTTCATGTTTCGGGACTTTGCAATTGACTATCATATTTCTGATACATCATCTTAGTTTTTCAAATAATACATTTATTGCACACAATATGGATTAACGGTAGTATCTACTTCCTATAATTCTACTGTTAAACGTGAATCATACTAAAATAATGTTATACAATTGTTAAATGTATAAATGATAATAATTTTCCGTGAGTCATTTGAAAAACTTTACGTTCTTCAATACAAATGAAAAATTTGTAGGAACACCTACCACCACGTGTAAATTACTCGTGACTTTGTCTATTTGTTTATCGCAACTTTCGTGAATAATTCATTTTACTATCTATTTTATTTGCGTTCCGTTTTTATTGTTCTTTTTCTTTTTTTGTTCAAGGACTCGTATAATTTACGTAATTACAATCTATATCCATACTCGTGCAATACATATGCATTTTCCTAGGAAGGATACATTTTACAATACAAAAAGATACTAAAAATATATCTTTTTGTGTTTCAAATATATTAACCAAGTTAATACTCTATACTTCTATAAATAAGAAAAAAAATATTTACAATTTTATTTTTACAATATTTCATTAATATGCAAAGGAAAACTGAGAAGAAGTATTCCTACCGAGCCCATTCTTCGTTAATATTTATGCATTCGATCGAGTATTCCGTGCATATATAGAAGACGAAAAAAAAAGATAGATAAAGAACGAAGCGGTAAAAAAATAATATAAATAAATATACATATAGTGAAACATGCAATGATATCGGCGAGTTCTCATATTCCATATTTGATTACATACGCCGAAAGCGCTGACATAATCTTTGTTAAGGTAAACCACGAGGTCCGAGACCCTGACATCATCGATGCCGTCATTTGCTAACGTATATCTAACTTATAATCCGACAAGATTGTATTACTCGTCTAAGTTTCTCGTGAATTTTCAATAAATTACATTGCACGGGTAATATATTAGAAAACGAAAAAAAAAAAACAAGAAAAAAACGCGACGTTCGTTATTTTCCTCTCTCAGGAAAATGTCACGAGTGGGTAAGATGACGAAAGACGATCGAATATTAATATCAAAGTTAAGCGATTCGCCTAACGCAATTATCACTAGACGACACTTACATTACCATTAACTCGTCTTGTTATATAATTTGTAACTTCGAATGCGATGGACGAATTTCATCAAATTATCCTATACTTCTCTCTATCTTTATTTCTCATGCTCGTAAATCATCATTAGGGAGGAATAAGAGGGAAGTAAATTTGTTAAATCAATTTGTAACATTATTACGAAGGTAAAAGATATTAGCGAGTAAATCACAACGGAGATCGGAAAGTTTCTCACGACCCTTTGCCATAAGTAAGATACTACCTACTTATCGTTAGATGAAATGATCGAAAATGAAAGACGCGGCTTCTACGATCAGCATGTTCAACGTGACACATACCGAAGTACACTGGTTTGCCGCACTTTGGACAATTGGGCATCTTTGTTGAAAGATCCTCGGAACCGGTTTTCTCTTGGCTAACGTCGCACGAGTTGTGGAAGGATGTTCTCGGCAGCGTGGTCAAACGTGTACTGGGCCCTCTGCTTCTTCTTCTCTCTCTCACTCTCTCTCTCTACGAGCTAACGCAATACTCTACGGTTGATTGAACGTGAGAACGCAAGTGTGTTGCGTCAGGGTATAGGTGCCTTCGTTCAACGAGAAATATCGTAGGTGAAGCCGTACATCGTTGGTGCTTATTTCTATATATGTGTGTGCACGTGCATACGTGTCTTTTTAGATCTACATATACGTCTATATATATTCCTATATATTTATCTACATATTCATACTTATGTAAGTTTAGTTCAAGGGATATCCATGTAGACGTAATCGTACGTGCATTCGGCCGATAACGGTCACGTTTAAGGCCACCTATATCCATCAGTCAACTTACTTTCCTGTTCTGAAACATGTCCGAGGAAGAAAACGTTATCCGTTATCCGTTTCTATTTGGCGGATTCGATATCAATACTAATGCATACCAAATAGTCCAACTTGGGTAGCGAAACGCTATGTTGCTATTCTATTTGGTCTATCGGATACCATTTACGTTTAGTTTAGCGATAAACGTTTGAAGGCTAAGCTAAAACGCAAATAGACTATGATAATGCAGAAAGATTAGGATTTTGCAAGTTTTTTAAGCGAATTTTTTCTATTAACGTCGGGGAAAAATAATAACGAACTTATAAATCAGGCTTTTCTTGGTAATAATCGAATTGCTTTTTCCCCGTTGATTAAAAAATCATTGATTCTTAGAGGAAAAAAGAAGCAAAGTAAGAATATCGATTTAATAATGAATAATAAGATTTGCGATTGTATCTATCGGAGTAGTTAATCCGAAGGATGTAAACAGGATGTTGTTAAGAGCACGTTTAATTGCCCTGATAAAAACGGATCGATCGTTAATCACGACAGATCAGATGAAATTAGAACAAGTTTTTTAAAGCCAGGATACTACCCACATCCTTCGCAAAACCACATCCTCCGATTACGAGAAAAACAGCCAACCTTGCTTGAATCATATGTTGTAGTTCTTTTTGAATATTCAAAACGTAAGCACGATGCGAAAAAAACACGTAAATGACTACGCCAAGTTATATTTTTATGCGTAAAAAAAAAGAATATTGTTATTTTTCAAAGTATTAAAACGTAATCGTTAAAACAATGGAGGATAATAAAAATCGAGTGAAACTGATGCTGGCAATAGAGAACGATGAAATTGAGAAAGCATTGGAAATTTTAGAGGAAGATAACAGGAAGGATCTCCTTGAACCGCTCGGATTGCTTAGAATCACCGTGGTACACTTGGTCGCTTGGAAGGGTCATTTAAATTTGTTGAAGAAACTTTACGAAAGAGGAGCTAATATTAATACTTCCGATAAAATCGGTAGAAGTGCATTGTTTTATGCCGCGCATGCTGGTCATCTTGAGGTTACCCAATGGTTATTGAAAAAGAACAGCTTCAAGGAAAGTAGAATCGGCATTGATTCCTGTTGCAGACATAATTTTCCAATGCAATCAAAGAATAAAGACGATTGTCTAGTTGGTCAAGACGTTAGTGTGATTATTATTATTATTTTTAGTGCTATCTCGTTATCGTTTCATTTTTGTTTTTAACAATTATCGTTAACAATCAACATTACAGTGTACTTTCCCTTTACGTCGTCATTTGCAATTTATGGAAAAGTTAGCTCTGTTACGACATTCAAAAAGTGTACAAAAAAATATTCCTATTTACGTAAATTGAAAAAAAAGTAATCTTCAATTGCTAGGAAACAAATGTCGTGGTAATAAATGAAGGAACCGATAGCGAGTAGAAAGTGATAAAAATTAGCGAGGAATGTAACAATGAATTTTGATTATCGTAGCTGCCGGTACCAGAATGTTGCGGTAGAACTCCTTTGCACCAAGCAGCAAGGAATAATCATTCCGATGTAGTGAAAACTTTGGTGAAAGCCGGTTCAAACGTTAACGCACAAGACGAGCGTGGTAATACAGCTTTGCTTTTAGCAGGACATAATGTGAATTCCAACGACGTTATCGAGATGTCGAAGTTCGTTGAAATTATCGACGTTCTCGTTTCCGCGAAGGCTTCGACCAATGTCATAGATTCGAACACAGGTATGCATTCATATTACTCAGAGTGTAAAAAAAGAATCTCATTATAGAAATCAAGCCAAGTTATTTAAGAAGTTTTTGAAAAATAGTAAAATTGTAGGTAATACAACTACGACGCGCTTATTTCTACAGGTTTAACGGCATTGCACCATGCAACAAGATTGGGTAGTCCCGAAGCGGTCAAAAAATTGCTCGATGACGATGCGTGGCCTCTTTTTCAATGTGCCGACACGAAGAGTACTCCCCTTCATGTTGCAGCATCCGATGGAAACTTGGAAGTCCTAATCATTTTACTTAAAAAAATTCGTCGGGAATACGTTGACATACGCGACAAGGTGAGACCAATTTCTCTATTTTTTATTTCTGCTTCCAACTACTAGTTTCGTTAAATCCACGACTTTTCAGCCACCCTGTATATATATGCAAGTCATATCTTTTTTTTGCAGATTGGTCAGACAGCCCTTCACCGAGCTTGTTATCAAGGTCATCGTGAATGCGCCCGAGTTTTGATCGACTACGGTGGCAATTTATCGGCAGAAACGAAAAGCGGCGTCACCGTTATTGACGCAGTCTTTGCCCACATTCAAAATCCAACATCGTTTCTAACAGACATTATGGATTCTTGTGTTCAATTAATCGGTCAGAAAAATATTGGAAAAGATGCTCGTGTAATTGTCTTTAACATTATTTCGTAAAAATGAGCGAAATCGATAAATTTGAATTAGCATGTTATTAAAAAGAAAACGTTTGTTTCAGATCTCCGTCGATTTTGGTATTCTTGCACCTCGGAGAGAGCTACAAACCAACGTTATCATAGCTCTCATAGCTGCGATTTCGAATGACGAACAATTGGCGATTTTGCATCATCCATTGATCGAGACGTTTCTTTGCTTGAAATGGGCCAAATTGCGTTTCTTTTTCTTCCTTCTTGTCGTCCTTTACGCCTTTTTCGTTCTCTCCTTATCAATCTTTGCCATAACTCTTCTTCGAAAATCTAACTATTTCTTGCCACAAATCATACTTATCTTGTGTTCGACCATACTGTTACTTTATAACAGTGCTCAGGTTTTGATGTTACCAAGGTAATTATTATCTTTTATAAATCAGATGTTTTTCTTATATTCTAATTATTTACATTTTTTTACAGACACTACATGAAACAATTTGAAACATGGTTGTCCTTCATTAGTGCTGCATTATCGTTCATGGCCTGCATGATCGTCAATAATCTACGACTTATCATAGATACGAAAGGCGAAAAAATACCTACTCCCGAATTTGTGTTACATCTCATCAGCATCGCCATTTTACTGGGCTGGATACAAATGATGCTGCTGATAGGACGTTTTCCAATTTGGGGATATTACGCTCTTATGTTCTCAACAGTCTTGTCGAATATCTTAAAGGTTTGCATGATAGCAGTTTGCATTCTTATGATAACACTAGTTTACAAAATTTAACTTTTTATCTGTTGACGTGAATTTTATGGTTGATAATGTTCACTCATGACCTCTTTTTGTCAAATCTAATCTCAAAATTGTTCTACAACTCGAACTGTTTGTTTTTAATTTTTATCATTTATGCGTATTTATGATGCGTATGCATCAGGATTTACGCGTCATAGAAGATTGTTATCAAGGTTTCTGGGATACGAATATGATGTTTGATTACTGCTAGTCTTTGATACGCTATTTTCCTAAGTCTACACATAAGAGAAGAGCTTTAAAGCGAAGTTTTCTAGAAACTCAATGATTAGTTTAATTTTTTAATAAATTTTTTCTTAAACGTACATAGCTGGAACTCAAAAACTAGAGCTGATCAAAAAATTCTACTTATATATTTGAAATTTGTATAATATATGTTGCGTCAGCAAGAGTTAAAATTTTGTCGGCAACAGATGTACTGTAAACTGGTGTAATGAAAACCACTTCATGACTTTTCGTTACTCAATACTTTTAGGTACTCCTAGCATTCATCTGCATGGTCTTTGGATTCGCATTGAGCTTTACCGTTTTGTTCTACGAAAACGAACAGTTCCATGATTGCTGGAGGGCCATCGTAAAGACCACAGTAATGATGATGGGCGAATACGATTACGAGAATCTTTTTCCATACAATACCAAGAGTGATAAGTCTTTTCTAGGGTTTACTTCTAGGGTCATCTTTCTTGGCTTTGTAATACTTGTGAGTATGGTTCTAATGAACCTGATGATCGGCCTCGCTGTCAACGACATCCAAGGCTTACAGAAAATGGTATATATATACGTACACACTTACATACATACAGACAAAAAGGCAAATAAGAAGTAACTTGTCAGAGCAAACAGAAACGAAGACACGAGACGTGCGATTTCACTCGACTCTTTATTTTCAGGGCCACATTCGTCAATTGCTCAAACAGGCGGAATTCGTGGCACATTTGGAGAAACTCACGTATCATCAAATTTTCAAAAGCAATTTGTTACATCCTTGGCTTAGGACAATCGTCAATTCGAAACGCGTAATGCCAACGAAAATTGTACTGCACTGTCGCGACAATAATCTTTGCGAATCCTTTCGTGGAATATCTGTTGAATTAATAGAATCGTTGTTTCTTTTAGCCTCGAAGAATAATCAGCAAAATGAGAAGTATGTAAATAATTACGTCAATCAAAAATTGTCATCGTTTCAACGAGTAAATGTACATTAGAAATATTTCGTTTCAGTTATCTAATTGGCTTCAAATCACGCTACACCGGCACGAATGTAATGTCTTCGTTAATCAATTTGCAAGAACAAGTTCATCAATTACAGAAACTTCGTAATCCGTCTATTTCCAAAAAACGCTCGAAATTACGTGGAAAACGAACAGTGTGTAAAAAAATTACCACTTAGTACATAAATTATATTTACACACCCACCCGCACCCACTCACACGCACTTTCAACATTTATATTTCATATATACATACGTTTCATTTTTTAAGAAAATTAATTTATATTTAATATTTTAGAAAAATTAATATGTCAAAAGAACAAAAAGAAAATGAATAACAATTAAATATGTAAATAAATTTAGATGGAATTTAGCACAGCCATTCGCCCGGTAGTACTTGTGTTACATGGTTTACTATTAGATTAGTATAAATCGCAAGTAATACCGACCCAGGTCTCACCGCGAGGAGGTTGCTGTGTTCGGAGACCCCCGGGCTAAGACTCTACTTCTACATTTATTTTTATTATGAATTCATTTCATTAAAGTTATTTATTAAAAAGAAATTTTCAAAAATTCAACACGAAAAAGGAGCCACAAATTTTTTCATCCTACTTATTATTAAAGTTGGATGAAAAATCATAAACATCGTTTTAAATCGACCTGCCTACCCGATTAACATTCTCAATTTAACGCAAACATTCAAACGCTTCAACGTAGATATAGTATATTCTTACTATATGTTCTTCTGCATTTAGCAGGTGTGTTTGTACTTACTGCGATTTTTAGTATATTTGATTGCATTTAGCAATTAAATTCATTTGCATTCAGCAGGTACGTTTGTACTTACTGTGATTTTCATATGCACTTTTTAAATGCAGGCAAGCCTTTTAAATTGTTTCATTTATGTACCGAAACTATACATTTTTATTCCAAAAACATAATCTCTCCACTTTTATATATAATAAATAAAAAATATATTAATCATCTTCTTATATTACTTATTATTTCTCCTCCATACATCACTTGTAAAATATTTCTTTAAATATTTAAGTATAGTAGAAATACTTTCTCCCACTCCCTCTTATAAACTCATTAATTGTTTCATTTGATATTTACTTATAAATAATTTTGGAATGAAAATGTATATTCCGGACATATTAATATGCATTTATGAGTGTATATTTATATTGATTCTTTGCTATTGAGATAATGTTAGATATAATTATTAAGTGTAACTTTTACACTTCTCTAAGATATATGCTATAATAATGTAAGCTGTAATAATAATAATAGTAATAATGACTTATAAAAAAACCTTTTTTAGAAAGTAATATGTAAGTAGTAAAAAAATACTTTCTATCGGATAATAAAATATTGAAAAATTTCATTACACATATATAAGTATATATACACATGTATATCAGCATTACTCGGCCGCTATTAACAGAAATATCGTCTAGTTGCGTGCAGAATGTAGGTAGGTAACGTACTTAAACCTTACGGACTTTGTGTGGAGACGTAAACGCATAGCCGTGTACAAGTCGATAAGGTAGAACATTCTCTTATGCACCGAGTCAGACCGATGCCGTTCTTATTATATTCTCTCGCCGTTATAGATGTCCCTGCCAGACCATTAAAATTAAAACTGATTTTTCAATCCATTTGAAAGATGTAAGAAGACAAACATGTACATGTATTAAATTTATGTCGCAATTTATAGACAATGATGTAATTACAATATAATCGAAAAAAAGAAAAACAAAAAATAAAAAGAAAGGCAAATTTTCCAATGGTAACTCGAAATAAAAGAAAGATTCAATGTAAATATCGACCTATCTTAACGAGCGATCATCATTCTTTGGAATTGGTCAGAGTTTTCAATCTCTCTGAACACGTGTGACGTTCAAGCAAAAGCAACAAGAGAAAGATTAGTGAAAATCGTCTGCACGGAAATGGAAACGTGCAGCGGTACATGACGAATTTAGAAGCTTTCACGACATATTAAATTTTCAACATCGTACCGACGATTATATACGTTTCAACGTGTAGCCACGATTCGTCGACGATCACCGTCGTAATTTCGAAAGCACTGTGCTTGAGCACCATTTTTTTTTTCTTTTTTTTCTTTGAATTCGTCGTCGTCGTCGTCGTCGTCGTCATTGCAGAAAACGCATAATGCTCGAAATTTTGTTGCGTTGACTCTCACCTCGTTCATAATCTCAGGGAATTCGCTTAACGAATATACGTATGCGTATAGTACATACACTTATGAACTCATATGCGCACACCAACGTAGTCGATATAAAAGTGTGATTTCGGTCGAGTCGACGTTGACAAAATACATATCCTAGCGTGTAAATGTTGTTCTTCGTGCGCGGATTTCCCCGTTACTATGGAAATTACGCGGCGTTAAACCCCTGCGACCACCGATCGTATTTCCAATTACGCAATTGGCATAATTACGATAATGTATATACATACATAAACACTTACATAGATAGATAAACGGAGGAATCGACGTGCTACGAGTAAAGGGATTACGCGCTAGAATTCGAAGTCATTAATGGCGCCGGTTTTCGACCTTTATCGAACGCCTATCGAGATCCGTAAATACAACCTACAAAATACTCTATTACCAACTAATCTTATAACATAAACCGTTCGTGGCTAATATTAGAGCGTTTTGTTAATTAAAAAGACATCATCCGTGGAAAGGGTTATTGGAGAGGTACGAACGTGTCCACTATCGAAGATTTGGAATTTTTACGTAAGGGATAAAAATAAAAATGAATCGAGGAAGGGATAAATATATATATCGAGGAATTTACAAAAAAATCTATCGGTGATCAACGCACGGTTAGTATATATATATGTATATACATAATATATATAAGTCAGTTATGTAGATATACTATATATATAAATTTGTTTGTTTGTTCTTTCTTTCTCTCTCTGTCCCTCTCTCTTAGACAGTCGATGGAGTAGGAGTAGGAATCAGTTGGATATAAGAGCGGAGGTGGAGGGAGGATCGGGTTCGGTCGGGCGGGCTCGGCGGGCGGTCGGGTTCGCTCGGTTCGGCCGTGGTTGCCTGCCATGACTGGCCGGAGTGTCTGTGTTGCGGGGGGCGAGGTGGCGCGTCGGCGCGCCGGCGAATACGCCGTCGTGATTGGTCGTCGCGTGGGAGAGCCGCCCGCCCGAGCTCGGCGACGCCGGCAGTCGGCACCGAGCATTCAGGCGGAGTGGATCGACCGATTTGCTTTCGAGCCACGAGAAAAAGAGAGAGAGAGAGAGAGAGAGAGCGAGCGAAAGAGAGCGAGCGAGAGAGAATAATTGAGAGACAGGGTAGTAGCGCGCGCGCACGCACCAGCTCTCTCTCATCGCCGCGTACATCGTGATAGAAAAGGGATAGAAAGAAAGAGAAGGATAGGTAGATAGGTAAATAGGTAAATAGATAGGGGGAGAGAGAGAGAGAAAGGGAAAGAGAAAGAGAGAGAGTGAGAGAGGGGAGAGGGAGAGAGAAAGAGAGAGAGAGCTTGTTGGCAGAGTGTGTTGTTGTTGATATATAGATATATGTGTGCGTGGGTGATTTACAGTAGCGAGCGAAGGAACGTAGACGTCTACTAGAGCTTAGTCGCGCGGGGCTGCTCTCGGTCGCTCGCGGTACTTTAACTGCTCGGTATCCCGCGAGCGGGTCACGATGGCCGGCCGGCGCGTGGACCGGCACCAACAGCATTACAACAAATATCAGTATTATCGTCGTCATTATCACGGACTACTACTGTCATCCTCTTCGTTCTTCTCGTCCTCGTTATCGTCATCGTCTTCTCGCAATCTTGAACAGCCTCTTTCTCCTCGTCGTCGCAGTCGCGGACTCGCCAACGTGCTTCGCCAACAACACGAGGATAAAACACATTACCGACAGAGTTATTGTTCCGGACCAATATTTTTTCTTCTTGCTAAAAACATAGAATCGACATCGACAACGACTGCAACGTCAATAACAACGTCAGAAGTAGTAGCAGCAGCGGCAACAGTAATAATTGCAACAGCAGCAGCAGCAGCAGTAGCAGCAGAATCGTCGTCTTCTTTGCGAGGATCCGCGCTGCGAGAAAAGCGCGAGGCTCGGCTCAGTCGCGGCGCGCACTAAAAGAGCGCGCGGCCACGCGCGCGCCTCACACACGTATATCTATATACACGTATACACCCTACTTCTTAACACCCGCACGCAACGCACGCCTCGTCGCGACACGTAAAAACATACGTCCTATCCGTCTCTCTTCCCCTGTCCCTCGACTTTTCTTTCTCTTTCTCTTTCTCTCTTTCTTTCCACTCTATCTCGTCTTCGTTTATCTGTCTTCATCTTTTTTCGTCCGTTTTCTTTCCCTTCGTGCCCTTCTTTTCTCCAAAGACCGACCCTCTCCTTCACATTCTCGTCGCTGCCACCGGGGTGTCTCTCTTTCACATTTTTTTTGTTCGCGCGTGCGACATACACACACGCGCATATTTGTGTTTAGTTGTTTTCTCCGTTCTTCTTTTACTGTGCGCGCGGGAATATTCAGCGAAGAAAAAAAGAAATCTAAAAGAGAAGAAAAGAAAGAGTGCTTGAGTGCTTTGTCGAGCTAGTCGTGTTGCCCCCGACCTAGCCCTTCCACCCTTGTTTCACGTATCGTGCGTTTTTCAGTGTTCCGCCCTTTTCCCCTTTACTGAAAGTGACCGAAGGTGAACCGAAATACTTATTGTCCAGTTTGATCTCGCGGATCGTGGTTCTTATCCGACGGCTGGGAGAAGTACAGTTGTGAATTCGATGAAAGGCCAAAGAAGAAAGTAAGAAAGAAAGTAAGAAAGAAAGAAAGTGAGAAAGAAAGTGAGAGAGAGAGAGAGAGAGAGAGAGGGAGAACAAATTGTTTAAGTCTACGAGTGAAAGAGGGATAAATTCGAATTTCCCGCCTAGGCATTTCCCATCCTCAACTCTCTCGTTCTGTCCTGTTCTCGTGGGAGCCCCTTTCCCCGGGCGGACTGTTCACAGCACTCTCCTTCCTCTCCTTCCCTCTATGCCGCTTCAAGAAAGGAGGAAAGGACCAGAGAGAGATAAGCGTCAAAAAGCGGCATTAACGAGGATCATTGTAATAATATAAGCTTCTCCTCGTTGTTATTTTTTTGGGGGGAGGAATACAATCGGATAAAAAAGAGTGGCAAGAAGGTACGATTAAGTAAAAGTAGAAGTAGAAGAATAAGGATAAGGATAAGGATAAGGAGAATAAGAAGGCGCAGGAGAAAAGGGCTAAGAAGAAA